CCGGGCGACGACCGAGCCGGTATAATTTTCGATGGCGTCAATACCATGAGTGGCAGGTGGCTAAATTTTATGGAGACTTCACCACTGTCTCTAACTCTCCTCTTTTCTCAACCGGAATTGAGACCGATAACGGCGGTGTTCAAATCGATCTTTATCCCCATGCTTACCTACGGTCATGAGTACTGGACCATGACTGAAAAGCTTCGAACACGGTTAGAAGCTGCTGAAACGGGCTTTCTTAGACGAGTCGCGTCCGAAATAGTGACATCCGGAAGAGCCTTGGAATACAGCCTTTGCTTCTCCAGATTGAGAAGTCACAGCAGCGATGGCTTGGGCATTTGTTGCGAATGCCTCCGGAAAGGAATGCTGAGCAAGTGTTTTTTGCGAATCTGACCGGCAGAAGACTCAGGGGATGGCCAAGATTAACCTGGTGCAAAAATATGGAAGCAGTCTTTTCCAGACTCAATTTGTCTTTTGCCGAAGCTCAGACTCTGGCACAGGATCGGGAACGTTGGAAGCACTCTCTGACGCGTCTGCCTCCGCGACCCGAAAGAAAATGCGGCCATGGAAGATGAAGATTTAAGAGAGAACTTTAACTTAAAAAGTCACACGTTTCTTTCATTCAAAGAGTAGACCTGTCATTACTGCGACTGTCAGTGTACGCACCAATTTGAACAGCTCTTTCCTGGACTGGTCACCAATTATAAGAATATCTCTGAAACCCTTCGTAACCACCAAGGCCATCCGCTTTCCTTTTCGCTCAAGAAGCGCATTCGTCGAAAGAGTACTGGCCATTCGTATGTAATCGATGCAGGCACCAGCGATTGGCTGGAGATGAAGCGACGATGAGGAAAAGGTTTCGTCATGCTTTGTTCCATTAAACTAAAAGGCAACTAAAGTAATAATAGTCTTTATATAACCATAACGCCACACGGGCGATAAATGGGCAAAAGATGGCGACTTGCAAATTTTATGGTCTAATATAATAGTTAAAAGAAAATTTAAAGAATGAAGTAAAACGAAACATCTTCATCACTTCCTGATATATCGCTTATTGAGGCAAATACTCTGTACAAAACTATTTACATTCGTATAGGTGTACATATTTACATCGCGTGGTTGTTTAGACCTACGCGGGATGAATCAGCTTAAGCAACCAAGTGCTGATCATCGTTGCCAGTGTCAATGTCAGGAGATGGCGGGTCAACGAGGTCTTCAGGTAGGACTTCTTGTGTTTCTTTAGGGTTTTCGGTTTCTGGAGAAAAGGCGGGTTCTGGAGTTGACACTGTGTGGCAGGGGCCTGAAGTATTAGGATTGCTTCTGAGGTTCCTATGGGTGTTATAGTTCTCACAAGACGCATTTAAGATGTCGCCTATGCAAAGCATTATAAGCGTTTTGATTAACCTAGGCCTGATGTGCAGTGCGCTTAACACTTTATCGTTAGCATTATCCCAACAACCCAAGGCTCCAACTATGACTGCATCCAGAAATGTTGTGTTTGTTGTTCAAGGGCTGTTTGGAGATGTTCATAGTGTGTTATTTTGTATGCACGTGCTACTTCAAAAGCCCTGTAGCGGTTCTCAAAGGGTATGGCAATGTCTACAATGGCCGCGGTGTGGGTTTGGCGGTTTAGGACTACGATGTCTGGCCGTAGTGTGGAGTTTACCATAGGGAGTGTTCTGTTAATGCGAGTTTCTGTGTGGACCACTTAGCAGTCCTGCAACTATTCTGTCTAATACACTGTTATGTATTTTGATGTATTGTTGTGCATGTGCTGTCATGCAGTGACAAAGAATATGTGGGAGTGTTTCTGTCTGGTAACCACATTTACGGCAGGACTTCGTACCTAAGCGCACGTTGCCATGGGTGGGGAGGAGGTCAAGTCGTGCGGAATGTACAAAGCGGTAGGTTGCATAGCTTACGTACTTCCCAGTGTACATGAAGCGGTTAAAGGACGTATAATGGGAAGCACAGTCAGCTACTTTATCTTGAGCTGCTTGTTCAGTCAACCTCTTGAAATGGTAGGATCGAACCAGGGAGTGCAGGTCTCTGCAAACTCGTACTTCTGACCAGAGGTCCACTCGGTTTCGGTACTGAGTGTTCCAGCGGCAAAGGTACAAGCTCCAGAGAAGGAGATGGTCACCGCTAGGGATTTGTTAAGGAACCTAAGTTGCTTACGCGCGTTCATCCATATAATCTTAACTGACACCCCAGGGTTATGCGCCTCCTCAGTGGAATTCAGGAAGGAGGAGATGTGGTCTTGGGTAAGGTAATATAATAGTTAAAAAACAATTTAAAGAATGAAGTAAAGCAAAACATCCTCATCACTTCCTGAAAATCCATTAACTGCTTAGCTGGGAACTCATTACTTCAGCCTGCGGAATTACGGGTTATGTGATATATTTCAGCGTACGAACATACTTTGATCTCTATAAGAAGTACTAGCTCTTGAACCATCGTTCATAATGAGCGCGAGGTGACTCTGGCGAACAAACTGATGA